GGAGGGGACGGCAGCGGGGACAGTGCGACGGGGGGAGGGGGGAGCGGGGCAGCCCCACTGCGCGAGGGGATCCGACAGGGCTCTAGAAGGTGGCGGTGGGTGCTGGGAAGTGGGGGGGGCTGAACGCTGGGATCGGTGCGGTGTGGGTACCTGGGTGCTGTTGAGGTCACAGCGGTGCGTGCCCGCGAACCACCCCGTCCCGCTGTCGCACTGATCGATGCCCACATCCCGCAGCTCGATGTCCACCCGCACGGCGCCCCTACAAAGCAGCGATGGGGTCAGACAGGGAGGGGGCGTACGGGAACTGCGGGGGGGCACAGCGGTGGCAGAGCCCGGTGCCGGGACACAGAGCCTTGGGGGGGGGGGGGACAACGACGACGACATACGCGGTGTCAGAGCCCATCTGGGGAGGTCCTGCCCCTCGGGAGGGTCTCACACCCACACGTGTGCACACCACTGCACACGTGTGCATGCACAGAAACACGCATGTGTCCCCCAGCATCCCCAAAGATGCACACGCATCCACGCCATCTCGCATGCAAGCACAAAGACGCACGTGCAAGCAAGCACACACGCACACACACCTGCACACACGGCCGCACATACACACTTCCCAACGCTCACAAACTCACACGCACGTGCAAACAAGTACACAAGTACACCCACCCCGCCCCCCCTTCGCCGCGCACTCACTTGAACTCGGGGCTGAGGTCGGGCTTCAGCCCATAGAAGGCGGCAGACAGAGCGACGGCCCAAACGGGGACGAATTTCCCATCTCTGCACTCGAGGAACGGCTGCGACCACCGCACGTGGCCCGGCCCCGCCACGTATCCATCGCCCCGCCGCCACTTGGGGGTTTCCATGGAGCGCAGGTCGTTGCTCAGCACCCGTTTGCGGAGCGGAGGACCGCGCCGTTCCCGCAGCTCCGCCACCCATTCGCCGTCCGAGCTGCGGTTCCCCGGTGCGGACACGTCCCGAAGGTGGATCTCTCCGTCGACGGCCGTGGCTTGCAGCACCAGACGGGGGGAAGGGGCAGCCGGGTGGGCGTCCAGGGCCAGCAAGGAGCGGCGCGCCCACGGGTGCCCCCCCGCCAGGCTGCGCGTCAACGCCTGGTACCATTCCACGTCCTCGGCCACGCTGGCCTCGCGGAGGTCGTTGCCCTGCAGCAGCATGTTGAGGAAATTGGCCGCTTGGGTCAGAGCTTCGGGGGCGGCCCGCAGGGCGGCTCGCAGCTCCGGGGGGGGGTCGGGCCCCGGGGGTCTCAGCGCGGCGCTGCGGCTGCAGTTGGTGAGGGCCAAACGCCGCGCGTCGCCCGTCCGCAGGAAGGAAAGAGCCGCGGAGCCCTCCGGGTCCCCACGCGGATCCGTCGTGGGGTCGTCGGGGGGCGGCGGCGGAGCCCCCGCCCGCAGCGGCAGAAGCAGCAGCAGGATGATGAGGAGGAGGAGGGCGGCCGGAGCGCCCCAGAGCGGCGGCCCCCCCGGGGGGGTCATGGTGGCACGGTGCCCGCGAGCCGCGCTCCGACCGCCGCCTGTTTTCCTCCTTCGCAGACGTCACGGCCCCACGCTGCGCTCGGCGCTGCTCTGACCGCCCCGACTCCCCCCCCGGTCTCCCCCCGTCCCCCGTCCCCCGCCCGCCCCCCTCCGGTGCTGCCGTCGGGCTCCGGTTCCGCCGCGGGGAGCGCAATGACCCCCCCCGATCGGCCGTGACGGAAGAGCATCCCGACGGGCCGCCATGGCAACCGGGTGCCGGCCGCATCCCGACGGCCCCACGGCCCCAAATCCCCGCATCCCGCTGCCCTGACATCCCAGCATCCCGTTCTCCCAACATCTCAGCACCCCGTTATCCCAGAAACCCGTGTTCCCAACATCCCAGCACCCCCACATCCCATTATCCCTGCATCCTGTTATCCCAGCACCCTGTTATTCCAGTATCCAGTTATCTCAGCATCCCATTATCTGCCACTCCTGCTCTGAGCATCCTCACATCCCGCTATCCCCTCACCCCAGCACCCCGTTATCCCATTAAACATCCCATTATCCCAGAGCCCAGCATCCCACATTCCTGCTCCCCCTCTCCCCTTCACAGGATGCCCCCAAAACACGCAGGGACGGAGGTGGGGAGGGGGGCACAGAGGGCAGCGTGCAGCCCGGGATGGGGGCTGTCCGGTTCCCTCCTGGCTGAGAGGAGAAACTGAAGGTGCGGGAGCGGCGGCGCCGTGCCTCGGTTTCCCCTCTCGACCGAGGGGGCGTGGCTTCGAGGGACGTGGGCGTGGCATCGGAGAGAGGGGCGGAGCGTAGAGAGGGCGTGGTTTTGTGAGTGATGGGCGTGGCCTCAGGGATCACGGACCGGAGCGCGGCGAAAGGGGGCGTGGTGAAGACCGGAAGTTGAGGGGCGTGGCCACGTGCGGTCCGCCCGCGGAGGAGGGAGCGGCGGCGGCGGCGGCCGTGCGGGGGGCGGCGGGACCGCTCCGCTCCCGGGGCGCCATGCGGCGGCCGTAGCGATGCAGCGCGCCGAGCTGCGCGACGGGGAGGCGGCGGCCGCGGCTTCTTACCGGGTGCTCAGCCGCCTGCTGGGCTATGGGGCCGGGCCGGAGGCGGGGGCGGCTGGCGGCCCCGGGAGCGGCGCGGCGGTTGCGGGGCCGCCGGGTCCGGGCGGAGCGCGGTTGCCGCTCCCCGCTCCGGGAGGGGCCGCTCGGCCGCCGCCGCAGCTGATGGTGTTCCGTAACGCCGCCGAGGGCCGCCCCGGAGAGGAAGAGGCGGGCGGCGGGGAAGGCCCGGCGGGCGGCCCCGAGCTGCTGTGCCCGCGGCATCGCTGCGCGTTGGAGCCCAAAGCGGCGGCGGCGGCGGCGGGGGGCGGCTGGGGGCCGCCGGGGGGGCTGGAGCTGCAGCTGGCGGCCCTCGGGCTGCGGCCCCCGGCGCTGGGATCCAAGGGCCCCGCAGCCTGCCCGTGCCTCGGGCCGCCCGCCGCCGAGGAGACGAGCGACGCGCTGCTGGTGCTCGAGGCGCTGGAGCCCGACGAGGCCGAGAGCTGCTCCGAGGAAGAGCCGGGCAGCCCCGGCGTCGCGGACCCGCAGGAGCCGCCCCGCGGAGCCGCCGCCGCACGGAGAGCCGGGCCCGGCAGCGGGGCAGCGGGAGGAAGGAAGGGATCGCTGCGGGTCCGCCTGAGCCGCCTCTTCCGCACCAAAAGCTGCAGCGGAGGGTCGGCCCCGGGGGACGGGAGCGGAGGGAGTCGGCGGGGAGCGGAGCTGACGGCCTCGGCGCACAGCCTGAGCGACGGCGGAGGGGCCCGGGGCCGCGGGCAGGAGGAGGGCAGGTACGGAGCGGGGGGACGCGCGGGGTTCGGGGCTGCTGTGGGGGGAGGGATGCGCGGCCGCCGGCGGTGCGGTGACGGGAGGGGCCGTGGAGCCCCGGGGCCGAACCCGGAGAGCGGCTCTTGGCGATGAACGGGGGTCTGTGCTCCTTCCTGCGGCACGGAGGGGTTCCCTGGGGGTCGCAGCTAGGGATGCTGGAGGTGCCGATCCCCCAGCGGTGCTGCTGGGTTCGGTGGCTTGAGCAAAATGCAGTGCTCCATCCCTGCGGGTGGATGGGACCCTGGGCAGCCTTTGGGGAGCACCCAGAGCGTGGTGTGGCTCGGAACTGTGTGGGCTGTAAGGTCCCCTCTGGCCTCGTCCCCTTTAGGGTTTGGGTTCTGAGCTGCTCCGGCTCTGCACCCCACGGCCACTGTGTGCCCCTGGTGTGGGGCTGCCAAGCTGTCGTGGAGGGGCACAGCCACCAGTCACTGCCTGGCACTGCCGACAGCTGGCCCTCATCCCTTGCATCACAGAGGGCACGTGGTTTGGCTCAGCAGTGCGTGGGGACGGTGTGAGCTCTCCCACATTGCCCCATCCCAACAGCAGCACATCAGTAATGATAACCTGTGGTCTGTGGCACATTGCAGCCCTGAGATCAGGGGGCACAAAAGCAGCAGCTCCATCACAGCCACGCAGCTGCTGTGCTTTTCCCCCGGTCAGCACAGTGCTGCTGTTTTACCAAAGGTTACTTCAAGGTGCCTGATGCAGCAGCTGCTGTGGTTCAGGAAAAGGCAGAGCTTTCCAGGAGTGCCCTCCTGCCCAAGAGCTCAGAGCTGCTGCAGTGCTGCTCCTCGTGCTGCAGTGTAAGGCTGCTCTCTGAAAGCTGCATCCGTGGGGCTGCTGCTCTTGCATCTCCAGCCCAGAGCTCAGGGTTGCTGCAGGTTTGGCAGTGGTTCTGTGGTCGGCTCACCAGCCCAGGCTTCTGAGTTGGAGGGCTGAGCTGACCTTGTTTGGTACCTCATCTCTGTGTGCTGCTGCTGTGTGGCTCTGGTTGGTGAGGGCAGCTCTCATCCTGCTGCAGGTGTTGATCTGAAGTCTGTTTTTGAGGAGTGTGTGGCTGATAACCAATGAATCGTCCTCCTTTGGGAGTTGGGGAGGAGCTGAAGCCCCAAGCAGGCGTGAGAGACCTGGAAAGGAAGCAGTTTGATGAGGTTTTATATATTGAGATGAGTTCCCTCAGCTCCAGGTTCAGCAAAGTGCTCCCGAAGTGCCTGTGATCACACAGTGTGTTTGAGGCACATGGCAGCATTGGGTTTAGAGCAGCAACGCTGCCTGTTGTGAAACAACTTCTTGGCTCCAGCAACCACACTTGCTTGGGGTTTTCTTTCCTAAGACTTGATTAATCACCTTGCCAGAGATTTGCTTAGCAGCAGGACGGAGCCCTGGCCTTGCTGGTTGGCTGTCCTACTTAAACCACAGCTCTGCTCCAGGGGTTGGATCAGCACATGGTGCTGTCTGCAAGCTGGGTACATCATGCTGAGGGCTCTCCCAGCCCAAAAAGATTAAATGAAGACCATTCATGATTTTTTTTTTTTCTTCTCTCCCCCCCCACCCTCCATTATTTTGTATTTCCAACAGGAAACACAGACTGACAAGAACTCAAAGTGCCTTTTCCCCGGTTGTTTTCAGCCCCCTCTTCACAGGTAAGGATTTGAAGGGGTTGCACTTTGGTTTTCTGGAGGGCTACGTGTGCTGAGTGCTGCAGGGTTTGCTCCCTGCAAGGTGCAGGCAGGTTCCTGGATGCCACTTGTATTCACTGAGCACATCAGGGCTGCTCCTGCTCTATCAGCTGCTGCTGGGGGAAGATGGGAGCATAGGATCTGTAGTTCCTGCACCTGCTGGCACCTCAGCACCTCTCAGCTTCGTTTGAAGCAGCCCAGCATACCTGGACACTGTTGGCAGGGTGTGGAAATGAAAGAGCATCTGCATGCACACGTGTGCACCCACACCCACAAAGCCCTGGGGGAAAAGCACCTCGGGTAAAGACTGCACCTAAATACCCCTCTAATGATACTGATTAATGGGCAGAGAGCTTTCGAAGGCAGGAGGAAGCTGAGTCAGTGTTGCCCTGTGCTGAGTGTCAGGGCAGGTTGCAGGAGGCTGGGAAGCTGCTGGATGCACATCTGGTAGGGGTTGAAGTGGTCCCTGAGGCTGTGGGTGCACAGGTCTCAGTGCTGGTGGTGGCTGGCAGCTGGTTGGGCTGAATTCTGACCAATGCCTCCGTGGTGGCAGCAGCACTTTGGTTGTTGGCAGTGCTGCTTTATCTGTGCAATGCTGAGGCTTTAAGTGGGGTTTGATGGCTTCGTTTTTCCTCGCACCATTTCAGAGTAAGCTCAAGCTTTCCCACTTTACCTTGGGCATCTTCATGTCGTTATCTTCCCCACACACTGCCCTGGGTTCAGAGCCTTTAGGCTCTATCCCACTCCCTTGGGAATGTTAAGAGTTGATACCTTCATGGCCTGCAGGCTGAGATGTATTTCTCTTAAACCACCCAAGACATCTGCATGCAAAACCTGACCAGAGCTGACGGGATCTGCTGCCCCTTCCCTGCCCCTCTGCCTCCCCTCGTGCAGGAGGAGCAGAGCTCACACTTTTACCTCTGCCATCCCCCAGGTGAAACGGTGTCTCTGGTGGACGTGGACATCTCTCAGAGAGGTCTGAGCTCCCCTCACCCCCCGACTCCACCGCCGCCTCCGCGCCGAAGCCTCAGCCTGCTGGGTATGTGGTCTGTTTGGGTGCAGGGCTCTCTGTGCTGCCTGACGGTGTTTCTTGCTGTTCTTCCATAGCAGCAGCGTTTTCTGTAGGTCCCTGCTGTGCTTCAAGCTTTGGGGAGGTGGTGCCAGGAGCCCCAGCGTGGCTGCTGAGCATCTTTGTGCTTAGGATGGCAGCCCTGCTGAGCGCACATCCCATGTGCCAGGGTGCCAAAACCTTCTCTAAACACCTGCCTTGTGCTGCAGGCTGCGTGCATGGAGGTAACCAGGCTGGAAAACGAACTCCTTTGCTTTAAGGGTGCGTGTGTGCAGGCTGCTGGGCTGCTCTCAGAAGCTGGTGGAGCATCACAAGCTCCATCTCCTGCTCCCCCTGCAGTGCTCAGTGCCAGTTTGCTCGTTCCATGTTGCCAGCAGCTCGGAGCTTGCTTGC